AATGGAAACAATCTATTGTTGTTCCAATTTATAAAAAGGGTAGCGTTCATGATTGCAATAATTATAGACCAGTTGCCTTGACATGTTCTCTTTCTAAGGTATTTGAAAAATGTGTATTTAAGCATGTTTATAAGTTTTTTCTTGGATAATGATATTATAACCACCTCACAATCGGGATTCAAACCTGGAGATTCAACTGTTTATCAGTTAACTGAATTATACCATGTGATTTCCAAAGCCTTGGATGATGGAAAGGAAGTTCGTGCTATATTCTGCGATATTAGCAAAGCATTTGATCGTGTTTGGCACGAGGGTTTACTAGCAAAATTAAAGTCAACAGGGATAAGCGGTTATCTTTTGGATTGGTTTGGGAGCTACCTTAGTAATAGGAAACAAGCCGTAGTAATTAATGGCTACATGTCAAATTATAGACCTGTTCTAGCTGGAGTTCCTCAGGGTTCAGTTTTAGGACCTCTGTTATTCCTCGTTTATATCAATGACTTGACTCACGGGATAACAAGTAATATTAAACTTTTTGCTGATGATACTTCCTTATATGTAATTATTGAAGACCCTGCATTCTCAACCGCTATACTGAATAGTGACTTAGAACGTATAACAGACTGGGCTGATAAATGGCAAGTGAAATTTAGTCCTACCAAAACTGAAGCCATGCTATTTTCGACTAAAATTAATTCTAGTCCTAAATTACCTCTTCGAATGAATGATGTTCTTATACCTGAAGTAAGTGATCATAAACACCTAGGGCTGGTTCTATAGGAAGATGGAAAGTGGCACAAACATATTGATTATCTTGTCCGTAAAGTGAGCCCACTAATTAATTGCTTGCGTAGTCTAAAATACAGGTTAAATCGAAGAACGCTTGAAATTATGTACAAATCTTTTATCTTACCCATATTTGACTACTGCGATAACATTTGGGATAATTGTAACAAAGAACAAGTAAAAATGCTAGAAAACCTACACTTGGATGCTCTTCGAACAATATGTGGAGCAGTACGAGGAACTAGTCACGAAAAGCTTTACGGGGAAACGGGTTATTGCTCATTGTCTGACAGGCGACATTATCATAAATTATGTATATATTACAAAATGGTCAATGGGCTGACTCCTAAATACCTATCATTATGGGTCCCACCTAGTATCTCCAGCATAACAGGATATAACCTTCGTAACTCCAATGACTTCCAAACAAATGCTGGGCGCTTATCCCAGTATAACCGATCTTTCCTGCCTTCTGTTATCAAAGCATGGAATGCACTTGATATCAATATCAGAAATGTAGATTCCCTATCTAGGTTTAAACAATTGATTTCCACAGATATTCAGATTTCTTCAAATTTTATATACATTGCTAGTTATGGCCAGCGACAATACCAAGTGATCCTATCCAGAATTAGGCTAGGTTGTAGTGATTTAAAAGCACACTTATTTGACAGATTCCTGATTGATGATCCCACTTGTTCATGTGGCCACAACAGAGAAGATTCTATCCATTTTTTTCTGTCATGTCCCCGCTATGCCCAGTTTAGACCCGACAAATACTTTGTCCTTAACCACCTCAGCATATATACCATACTTCAAGGCAATGACGACTTATCTCCTTTAGACAATGAAAACCTAATGAAATCCGTACAGAATTATATAACTGAAACTAACCGCTTTACGGAATTCAAGTAACAACCTATAAACATAAAATGCACTTGGCATCTTGTTCTTTATTTTCTTTTCTTTATTTTCATTTTGTTTTGATTCATTCATTAATGTCCTAATGTCTGCTCCATAGAATCAAGTCAAGGTAATAATGAATTATATGCGGAGAAGCATTGACATAGGCCATATGGCCTGTTTGCTGATCCTATTTCCATTTTCTTATGTTGTGTACTATGAAAAATGTAAACATTAATGGAAATAAAATACTGTTTAAATCATACACTCTGTCGTGTCTGCGTAAATCAACTTCCTTCTTTCAAAGGACTAACCGCCAAGACATTGATTAATTGCTCATTATTGGCTAACTAAATTACTTTTTTGTAAAGAATGGCGGACATTATGCAATTAGTTCCCAGGTATGCTATCTTGGGTGACCAATGAGACTATATACCAATGTGAAATACCTGAAACAATATATCACTTTTCGTAAACATGTGTTAGATGTATCATTTGGAACAGCTGCAGGTGAATGGCATATCACTCGTTTTTGTGGATATTGATGGATACATTCCTCGAACAAAGTTAATAGCCTGACATTGTTCTTATAACTCTAATCTGTTTTAATTTTAATAATTGCATTTTGTTTTTATTTTTATTTGTCGTAGCATTCAACAGAATCATTGTTTTCGTCGTGAAGTAATGAGACTGACAACATACACTAGGGCGTGTGTGCGAATTATGATTTTCATTGGCAAACCATAAAATGTCTAGATATTCAAGTTATAAGTATAGGCAGATCGCTTGATTTTTATTTAGTTTCAAAATGCATACAAGTATGATAATAAACTAATTAGGATTATAAGACCAAATATAAAGACGCACTTTGACTAGTATCTACATACTGGTGAGTGGACGTTAACCACGTGAATGTAGCAAGAAATTTATTGCGCAGAATTGTCACTTCGACCCCCACCTCGCTTCACGGGAAGAAAGCGTTATGTTACAAGTTGTGTCATGCCAAATCCTGTTGGCCATGATTCAAATACATATTTAACTACGAGTAGAAAGTAGTTTTGATTTTCTAACTTGATGAAAACAAACCATAATCTCATTAATTCTTTAACAGACTTTAGCCCGTGATGTTACGATTATTAAAAATAGCAGCGCCCTGTCGCGAACATCCGCCAGTCTGAGAATAAATGCTATTTAGGTTTGTTTTCACCGAGTTACAAAATCAAAACTACTTTCTACTGGTAGTAAAATATGTATTTGATTGATGTCCAATAGGATTTTGCATGACATATCTTATAACATAACAATTTCTCTCGTTAAAGCGAGGTGGGTGTCAATATAACACTACTTACAATATTATTGTCACTTCCACCACAACCTCGCTTCCGAGAAAGAAATCGTTATGTTTCAAGTTGTGTCATGGAAAATCTTTTTGGTCATCAATCATATATATATTGTACTACAACTAGTAAGTAGTTTTGATTCTTTAACTTCCGCGAAGCGATCTGAACACATTTAAGATATCGTTCCTAGCTTCCACAACGCTCGCTTCGGACTCACAAACATAACCCATTTAGCACGAACTACAGGGTCCGGTGGAAATTAGTGCATGGATACACCATCACTCGACCCCCTAGGAGGGCAACGCAACGATTGACGGCAACGCTACGATTCGTTTTGCTTAGAGTAAGTTTCGTTGTTCAGACCATCCTTTAATGTTGGAATATGGGCGAAAAGTAAATATGAAACAACATGAGCGATTCTGCCCTCTGTGTATTGTCCTTACCATTGAATCAGAGTACCAATTCTTTATTATGTTCATTTTACTGTGATCTGAGAAACAGCCTGCTCCCACAATATTACATAAATAATCCACGTGAAACTAAATTTATCAACTTATTATTGTCTTGCAATTCTACAACTGTTAACAATCTTGCTAAGTTTATATTTCTTGCATTCTTGCGAAGTTTTTGAATATAGGGTATAAGATTAAATGAGACATTGTACATGTTAGCATACAGCTTAATATTATATATGGCGCTGGATTGTATTGTCATCTTTATAATTGTATAACGGGTCGGTGGCCCTTGTACGAAATTAACTCTCACTCACTAGATATAAGCTTACGATGACACATACTTAAACTAAACGTGACCAAAGTCACTTTTCACCCAAAACATTGAACATTTCAAATGTGTTCACCACTGCAATTTCGACTAGTTAAGTCGATAATCCTTTCGTTAATCCCTTAAACAATCATTACTAAAACAACACCAAACATCAAAGACTACCGCCAGTCGCCTTAACGCCCTCATGAAACACTCATGCCGCCCCCATGCCACTATAGCAATTAGTCCATGCAGAACAATCATTTACCATCACCCACCAGTTATCTCCCCTTGCGGATGTAAATGTGGATTTTCTTTCCAGTGATAGATGTGATATTCTAGCTGATTTAATATCCTTTATCGACAGGTTTCTTAATCATGTGTAATTTGTTTTGACCACAATTGGCGGAAATACTGCCTTTGTGACTAAGATGTTAACGTACTCACTCACTCACTCTAGCACCTGTAGCTGCGGTAAAACTCATCTTCAATTTGAGAGACACTTTGACCACGGTAACAGTTTGTTGTTGGTTTTATAGTTTTAGGGCGACGTGGGCCAATGAGAGGCCTATTTGCGCCCAATAACAGTTTGTCTGATGTCCGACAGTTGTCGCCCTTAGTCGGCCAAACCGGAAACGGTAACAGCTCGTGCTTCCAACATGCCGCATGTGAAAATAAAAATAACAGCAAGTAAAAAACCCCCAAAAAATAAAGAAAAAAGAAAAGGAAAAACGCACAATTACCCTACAAAGCGAAAACGTTTCATTGAGTTTAGTAAAACAATATCAGAACATCTCTCAGTCTGTTTTCTAGGAATCTGAAGTGTACAGCACCTCACTGACATATTTCACTTCGAATTTTACCCCGACCTAGTTCATAAGAACGCCATGAAAAACGCTTGCACGAAAGTGTCTTGTTTGCATAAACTTTATTAAACGTTGTGAATGGAATAATAATTTTCTAAATCCATGTACAATCAACCTGATTCCCAAGAATGCCACTCAAATAAACAAAGCAATATCACCTTAAAATATCCCCTACGTATTTCAATAGTATATATAAGAAACAATCTATAACTTTAACATCATTTGTATTCAAGGTGTTATTACTGATCACTCTGATGACTGTTATTCCGAGATCGACCGCCTCGTTCAGTCCAAATATAGCTCTGACACTTATTGTGTACAGTCGGGTAGACCGCTGCACACCTCAGTGTACAGGACTACAACTACAGAGCCACAACCCTCTCATCCGGGTTGTCTGTCAGTGGAGTACTCTGTCGTGCTGTAGTCTGTCGTGTTGTAGAGTGTGGTTGTTGGTTTGTGGAGAATATGTTTAGTGGGACCCTACGGGACAGTGACAAGAGTCGGTTCTGGGTTGACGGTAAGCTGGATTTATAGTCCTATTACATTTGATGTTTTCAGAGCACACAGCTCAATGTATTTATGACAGTTTCGTCACAGCGCCTTTTACATACAGCATGCTACTGTCACGACAGATCAACGCTAACATATTAGTATGTGAGCACGGAAACCTTAGAAGAATGACGTATTTTAAGGTGTGTCGAGAAATGGCCGACACACTTTTCTGTACGATGAGAAGCAGAGTTTAAAAGATGGCGTCATAGTACCGTGAATTTGTACCTGACACACGGGTCACACTGACCTGGAAAATAATGTAATCAAACGTACACGTTACGTGTGTCTCCGTGTGTCTCCGTGTGCCTGTGTTTCTCCGTGTGTCACTCTGTGTCTCTGTATGTCTCTGTGTGTCTCCGTTTGTCACCGTATGTGGAGGGTAGCAGTGGAAGCCAGATGGGGTGGGAGGCAGTAGGTATGGTAGTAAGGGTGATGTGGGTGATAGCTTGATAAAGTAATCCCTAGTAAGAGTGATGTGGGTGATAGGTTGATAAAGTAATCCCTAGTAAGACCGAAGCCTCATGCTCGATTCGATTCGGGTACTACAGGCTAAAACCCGTTTGTCCCACTTACAGGTATAACTGACAAGGAACTGAACGGACGTGAAAGGCTTTGGTCTTTCGCTGTTGTATTCAGAGTCGTTTGTTTGTTTGTTGCTTCACTGGGCGATGTTCAAGCTGTATGGTGGTAGTTTGTACTGGACATGGGAACACCATGTGAAACTGGAAATACGATGACTAGAAATCCGAGTCTCCGAGCTAGACCAGATCCCGTTGCAGTGTAATGCTGGTACTTAGATGACAATTTGAAATGTTTTGCAGGAGCTGTGGCCAGTGTGCTTGAATTAATGTTTGGATCACTGCTGCTCATATTTCGTAAGTGCACAGAGTACAACTACATCATTTCTATGTTTACCCTTGTATTGGACACAATGTTTGTTCATATGTAAGTGCACAGGGTACAACTACATCATTTCTATGATTACCCTTGTATTGGACACAATGTTTCATCATATATAAGTGAACAGAGTACAACTACATCATTTCTATGTTTACCCTTGTATTGGACACAATGTTTGTTCATATATAAATGCACAAGGTACAACTGCATTATTTCTATGTATACCCTTGTATTGGACACAATGTTTGTTCATATTTAAGTGCACAGGGTAAAACTACATCACTTCTATGTTTATCTTTGTATTGGACACAATGTTTGTTCATATATAAGTGCACAGGGTACAACTACATCATTTCTATGTTGAGCCTTGTATTGGACACAAATTTTGTTAATATATAAGTGCAGAAGGTACAGCTACATCATTTCTATGTTTACCCTTGTATTGGACACAATTGTTGTTCATATATAAGTGCACAGAGTACAACTACACCATTTCTATGTTTACCCTTGTACTGGTCACAATGTTTGTTCATATATATAAGTGTACAAGGTACAAATACATCATTTCTATGTTTACCCTTGTATTGGACACAATGTTTGTTCATATATAAGTGCACAAGGTACAACTACACCATTTCTATGTATACCCTTGTATTGGACACAATATAAATACATGTAAAGACAATAACATGTATGTAAACATTTTTTAGTCTCCCTGTATATTGATGTGGGTGCAAATACCATTCACGTGGGCAGCGATTAGGTAGAATAATACCATAGCTGATATTTGGTCATTCAAACCTGCCTTCAAATACCATTTACTCACTACTGACAGATATTATGAAAACGTCTAGCTATGCTAGCTGCAATAATAATGTTTCTTGTTGATCTTTTGATTCAGTTTCCACAGTCAATGGTGTCCCAGTGTGCGAGTGGGGCAGATATGGACAAAACTGCGACCAACTATGTTCACATCTCTGTAGACTTCACCCTGGCAGAAACCTTCCACCGTGTGACAAAGATACTGGGAAATGTTTAGAAGGATGTGTCCGTGGTCGGCATGGTGACCACTGTGATCAACTCTGTAGCCAGAACTGCATCAACACCACGTGCAATCAACCCAACGGGGGATGTACCCTCGGGTGTACAGACGGATACACTGGGTATTTCTGTAACAAAACGACAGGTACACATATACAGATGTAGAAACACATTCTGAAAAGTATTTCAATCACATCTTGCCTATCTCAGACTGAAGTGACATGTCAGTGCAGATACATTCGGATATGAAAATGGCTAGCTATATTACCGTTACTTAAAACAATTAAATTCCTTTTTAGCCCGCCATAACAAGCTTTCAAAGGTGTCTCATAATGTATCGCAGGTAGATGAAGAAACACTGTCTGATAGGTATTTCTATGACCTCTTTTCATCCTTCAATTTTTGTACCTCAGACTAATTTAATACGTCAGTATAGATACATTTTGGATAGGAAAGAATGCTTCTCATCTACATTATTGGGTATTTGAAAATATTTAATTCATATTTTGTAATTTAAAAATGCATAACAAGCTTTATAACCGACTCGTAATTTTGAAAGTGGTAACTGGAGTTTTACATGTAGCGTTGACTGGATAGTATATTATAGATCTCTGTCTTGTACAACAGGTCCCCCCTTTAGCTGTCCCACCACCACCTCCACCATAACCTATGGTAGCATTGTCCACATGAACGTCAATTGGGTTTTTGTTTCAGTTTCCACAGTTAATGGTTTCCCTGTGTGCCAGTGGGGCAGATATGGACAAAACTGCGACCAACTATGTTCACATCTCTGTAGACTTCACCCTGGCAGAAACCTTCCACCGTGTGACAAAGATACTGGGAAGTGTTTAGAAGGATGTGTTCGTGGTCGGCATGGTGACCACTGTGATCAACTCTGTAGCCAGAACTGCATCAACACCACGTGCAATCAACCTAACGGGGGATGTACCCTCGGGTGTGCAGACGGGTACACTGGGTATTTCTGTAACAAAACGACAGGTACACATATACAGGTGTATGACATCTTTTCATCTTGCAATATTTATATTTCAGACTGACTGAATGAATATATCAGCATAGATACATTTCTGATACGAATAAAGGGCGAAATAACGACAGAATCTGCTCTACACACAGACTGTGTAGTCTACCTGTATATGTTTACAGTTGGAAATCACAGTTGAACAGATTCCAATGTGTTATAATTTCCCAGTTGACACTCCATTTGGACAGCAAACTTACAGGATTTGATGATTATTTATCCAAGGTAGCATGAGATGGTTACAATCTCTGTGCTGATATGGGTCCATTTCCAAGATGAATGAACATGTTAACCGGAAATCTATCAGCGAAACCATCAAACCCCGCGGAAAAGTGATCAAATTCAAAATTGTATTCTAAAAGAAGCGTAATTTGCTAACCAGAACAAATAACTACAAACTGACTGACTGAGTTTTGGTTTTACGCCACTTTTAGCAATATTCCAGCAATATCACGGCGGGGGACACCAGAAATGGGCTTCACTCAGTGTACCCATGTGGGGATTCGAACCCGGGTCTTCGGCGTCACGAGCCAACGCTTTAACCACTAGACTACCCCACCGCCCCTCTACAAACTGAATTACAGTACAAATCCAGTGGAAGCTCAAAATACAATGATGATATTATATTATAGTTGTGGTCGTTGCCATAGAGAATGTGATGATTGGTCTCACCTGGCTGCAGCAGCGGTCAAGTTGACATCATAGGCTTATGCTAGGAATTCGGGGTGGACAGTGATCTTCACACAACTGGTGGTCGTGAATAAATGTAATGTGAGATGACCAAGACACGAATGCGCCAGTTTATGGGTGAAGCGTGTTCTTCGCTGTGATAACCACCTCGAGGGTACCGAGAGGTGGTTATCGAAGCGAATCACGAGCTTAAGGTTGTTATTTCGCATATACCACAAGGTCAAAAACATTCTTATTCCAGTTCAATTATTATTAACTGCAATGTGCATATATTATAATTAATTTTAAAAAAAATTGAATGGTTCTGTATTTATTTGTTGAAGACGTTTCCAATGAAAACATTGAGGTAGAGGCATTGGGTTGTCAACCCCGATCTGCCAAGGGAAAAGTTTTTCTCGAGGTGCGATACTGGGAATAAGGTGAGGCGAAGCCGAGCCTTGTTCCCGGTATGGAACTGTTGGTCAGATAGCACACACCAGCACATATCAGGTGCAACTCAGCACAGCCAGGTGGGGTGACCCCAACTTGTCAGGCGCTGTTCCATCAGCCGTTTGTCATCCCCCGGTGTGAAGGATGAAAATAGCACAATATTACATGAGTTTCTTAAACAATTTTTTCCGTGACCGATTAAAAAACCGTCAAATTTCAGATCCTGTTGGGTACAGAGTTTTCAGGACCATGCGCCTTATTTATGTTTTGTGCACTTATCCCAGTTTCGAGTTATTTTATCATGTGTCGTTCTCATTTGAACCCAAATGGACAGTATAAACATGCGAAACACGATCCTGCAGCAGAATCTCGTGCAAGTCGAGCACTTACCAATCACGTGCAATGTAAAACCACGTGATTATAACTGCCATTACAGCAAATGAATTGCGACAAGGAAGTGTTTTTGGCCTATCAGCGAGCTGCTACGACTGTTTTCCAGGTCGGCGTGGATTTTGAAGCAAACTGGTCATCTGGTAAGTATCGTTCCCTACATAGCATTTGTCTATAGCTGTTCTTGTACCCAATTGAACCTGTCAGAAAAGCTGTAATCATTACCACATATTTCGCGGTTCCTTTTTCGAATCTAATAGGATATGGGTAGTCATATTATACAAAAGTTAAATTCACAGACAATGAAGTAATCTACTTTAAATTGAACTGCTTAGTAATGTCTTTATGTCTCTTATATTTAGATGTCTTCCTCGTACCAATGTCCTATTCTTCTTATTAACGCTATGAGACCCTTCATAATTTGTGCGTGCATGCGTACGTGTGGTGTTGTGGGGATGCATGTAAAATGTGAATGATTTCCCCTAAACTATATGGGGAAGATTTCCTCCCATACCCCCGGTATTCGTTATTAAACATCCTATGCCTAAGAATATAGGCCTATGTTTTTTTATAAAAAGAAACCTTAGCCTACCCTAAACCCTTAACCTAATCCCTACCCCGTCGAAATAATCATGATAAATATAATACATATTAAGCATGGGTTACGGGTTACAACTTTATATGCAAAGTGACACAAATATTCTCAAGTACGACGTTAAATCCAATTTCACCTCGGGTCCCCTCACCTCCCCACACACACACACACCACACACACACCTCGCTTGCTTGTCATGTACACAATTGCTGACCACGCCAACCCTCCTCAACCCGTAGTGCATGTGTACAAAAATGAAAATTTTACAACGTTCTCATTACTAACTCTTCTAATGATACTGATACATGTTATTTACCAAAACTACCTATGTGCATTCTGTCTAAAAAACCGTTCATTTTTCAGATGATTCAGGTGACCCTGGAGAGAATGGAAAAGGAGGAAGGTCCCGCCGGTTTCAATTTATTAACTGCAGTATATAGACATTGTCAAAAATAAAACCGTTTTGAACGGTTCTGTATTTATTTATTGAAGATGTTTCCAACAAAAACATTGAGGTAGAGGCATAGGGTTGTCAAACCCGATCTGCCAAGGGAAAAAATTCTTCTCGAGGTGCGATACCCGGAAAGAAGGTGAGGCGAAGCCGAGCCTTTTTCCCGGTATTGCACCGAGAGTTGGTCAGTTAACCGGCCTAGAGGGTTATATGGTAACCAACCTCTGGGGAAGGTTGGTTATCTGATAACCAACCCCTTGGGAGGTCGTTCACAAAAATTAATCACCTCATATATTGACCCGATAATCAACCCACGTGGTATATATACAGATAGTGGGCTTCCAGGAGTTTCATTTCTTTCACACCTTGGGTCTGCCTGTGCTGGAATATTCAATCACACTATGTGTCTGTCTGTGCTGGAATATTCAGTAGCACTATGTGTCTGTCTGTGCTGGAATATTCAGTAGCACTATGTGTCTGTCTGTGCTGGAATATTCAGTAGCACTATGTGTCTGTCTGTCCTGGAATATTCAGTAACACTATGTGTCTGTCTTTGCTGGAATATCCAGTAACACTATGTGTCTGTCTGTGCTGGAATATTCAGTAACACTATGTGTCTGTCTGTGCTGGAATATTCAGTAGCACTATGTGTCTGTCTGTGCTGGAATATTCAGTAACACTATGTGTCTGTCTGTGCTGGAATATTCAGTAACACCCTGCGTCTGTCTGTGCTGGAATATTCAGTAGCACTATGTGTCTGTCTGTGCTGGAATATTCAGTAACACCTTGCGTCTGTCTGTGCTGGAATATTCAGTAACACTATGTGTCTGTCTGTGCTTGAATATTCAGTAACACTATGTGTCTGTCTGTGCTTGAATATTCAGTAACACTATGTGTCTGTCTGTGCTGGAATATTCAGTAACACTATGTGTCTGTCTGTGCTGGAATATTCAGTAACACCTTGCGTCTGTCTGTGCTGGAATATTCAGTAACACTATGTGTCTGTTTGTGCTGGAATATTCAGTAACACTATGTGTCTGTCTGTGCTGGAATATTCAGTAACACTATGTGTCTGTCTGTGCTGAAATATTCAGTAACACTATGTGTCTGTCTGTGCTGGAATATTCAGTAACACTATGTGTCTGTCTGTGCTGGAATATTCAGTAACACTATGTGTCTGTCTGTGCTGGAATATTCAGTAACACTATGTGTCTGTCTGTGCTGGAATATTCAGTAACACTATGTGTCTGTGTGTGCTGGAATATTCAGTAACACCCTGCGTCTGTCTGTGCTGGAATATTCAGTAACACTATGTGTCTGTCTGTGCTGGAATATTCAGTAACACTATGTGTCTGTCTGTGCTGGAATATTCAGTAACACTATGTGTCTGTCTGTGCTGAAATATTCAGTAACACCTTGGGTCTGCCTGTGCTGGAATATTCAGTAACACTATGTGTCTGTCTGTGCTGGAATATTCAGTAACACTATGTGTCTGTCTGTGCTGGAATATTCAGTAACACCTTGCGTCTGCCTCTGCTGGAATATTCAGTAACACTATGTGTCTGCCTGTGCTGGAATATTCAGTAACACCTTGGGTCTATCTATACTGGGATATTCAGAAACACCTAACGTCTCCCTGTGCTGGAATATTCAGTAACACTGGGTGTGTTTCTATACTAGAATTGTCAGTAATACTCCCAGTCTAAATATTGGAACTAAAAAGCTCTGTTGCATATTTATGATGCCATGCTTTCAACAGAACGTAATTTAGAACACAACTAACGACAACTGTGTGTCATTTAGCTTCCTGTTTTCTTTCAGTTTCCACAGTACAGAGTGGCACAATATGTGACTCTGGCAAATATGGACCAAACTGTGACCTCCGCTGCTCTGAACAATGTGGTCTATTTCCAGAGACGAACCACCGACCGTGTGACAAATACACTGGGAAATGTTTAGAAGGATGTGTCCGTGGTCGGCATGGTGACCACTGTGATCAACCCTGTAGCCAGAACTGCATCAACACCACGTGCAATCAACCCAACGGGGGATGTACCCTCGGGTGTACAGACGGATACACTGGGTATTTCTGTAACATAGCAACAGGTACACATACACAGATGTAGAAACACATTCTCAAGTATTAGCATGGCACTTACATGTATTTGATCTTGCAAGTTTTATATCTAAGATAAAATTAACCTTAGGACAGTCATTATAGATACAGGTCAGAAAGGAATAAAAGGCTACTTATCTACTTAATTGGTTCTTTGAAAAATATTTAATTCACTTTTGGTATTATAAAAATGCATAACAAGCTTTCATAATCGATTCGTACTGTATCGCAGATCTGACAAACCTCTGTTATAACTATTGGAACATAACAGGGACACAGACAGGTTGTGGAGCCAGATTCTGGTAACGTGGGTGTGAGACTGGAGCCAGAACACATCTGGTACAGTGATTGAGAAGATGACATTTTGCAGCAGCTCCAAGTTTCAGTAATTGGAAGAAATATGTAATTGTACATCACGTAATGAGATCAGTCCAACAACACCTGTTTCTATAAAGCGCTGACGTATCATACAGTCACGGTTCAACACAGATAGGATTTATCACTGTGAATGATTCACTACCCATCTTTAACTGATGAAGATCATGTACTGTCTCAAGATTACAGCTGTTTTGTACTCAGTGCAAGCATATCAGGATTGTTTAGTCTGTCTGAATTCTAACGTTCAGATGTAAAATAATGAGCTAATTTCCTGACACTGAACATGTTATATAATATAGAGAGAATTTCACCCAGGTGTCTACTGATATCAACTATGTCAACACGAGTTGATAAAGTTACAAATATCCGAGGCTTGCCGAGGATATTGTTACTTTTATCAACGAGTGTTGATATAATTGATATCAATAGACACGAGGGTGAGATTCTATTTATCATAAAAAATCATTCTTCATTAGTTTTAAAAGAAAAAATGTACATCTCTCAACACTGTACTACCATTAGACTGGCGGTACAGCGATGTCAAAGCATTGTGACGTCATCTAGTTCATGACGTCATGGCATAGTCAGGGCATTGTACAAAATCTACTGTCAAAACGATTTCTCCTAGGAGATATCGTATAATCTCACACAAGCGATATGGCCTGTGGAACACATTTTTGGATGATAAAAGGGCACATCAGACATACTAATTAGGCCTATAGTGTTTGTTCCAGATGAAGGGAACATCAGACAGTCTAATTAGTCCTATAGTGTTTGTTCCAGGTAAAGGGCACATCAGACAGAGTAATTAGTCCTATAGTGTTTGTTCCAGATGAAGGGCACATCAGACAGAGTAATTAGTCCTATAGTGTTTGTTCCAGAGGAAGGGCACATCAGACAGACTTATTAGTCCTATAGTGTTTGTTCCAGAGGAAGGGCACATCAGACAGACTTATTAGTCCTATAGTGTTTGTTCCAGAGGAAGAGCACATCAGACAGACTTATTAGTCCCATAGTGTTTGTTCCAGATGAAGGGCACATCAGACAGTCTAATTAGTCCTATAGTGTTTGTTCCAGGTAAAGGGCACATCAGACAGAGTAATTAGTCCTATAGTGTTTGTTCCAGATGAAGGGCACATCAGACAGAGTAATTAGTCCTATAGTGTTTGTTCCAGCTGAAGGGAACATCAGACAGTCTAATTGGTCCTATAGTGTTTGTTCCAGGTAAAGGGCACATCAGACAGAGTAATTAGTCCTATAGTGTTTGTTCCAGATGAAGGGCACATGAGACAGACTTATTAGTCCTATAGTGTTTGTTCCAGATGAAGGGCACATGAGACAGACTTATTAGTCCTATAGTGTTTGTTCCAGAGGAAGGGTACATCAGACATTCTAGTTAGTCCTATAGTGTTTGTTACAGATGAAGGGCCCATTAGACAGTCTAATTAGTCCTAGAGTGTTTGTTCCAGGTGAAGGGCACATTAGACAGTCTTATTAGTCCTATAGTGTTTGTTCGAGATGAAAGGCACATCAGCCAGTCTAGTTAGTGCTTTAGTGTTTGTTCTGGATGAAGGGCACATCAGACAGTCTAGTGATTCCTATAGTGTTTGTTCCAGATGAAGGGCACATCAGACAGTCAAGTCAAGTCAAAAAGTTTATTGTATTTAAGGCCTCCGGCCCACATACAAATATACATTTGCAAATAATATACAGTATACAATATATAATAGTGGAGAGAACAAGATGACAATCTTTTGTGAAATTTCGTTCTTGCGTTTTAAACTGTTTAACAGTACATTTCTTAGTCTAGTTAGTCTTATAGTGTTTGATCCAGGTAAAGGGCACATCAGACAGAATAAATAGTCCTCTAGTATTTGTTCCAGGTGAAGGGCACATCAGACAGACCTATTAGTCCTATAGTGTTTGTTCGAGATGAAAGGCACATCAACCAGTCTAGTTAGTGCTATAGTGTTTGTTCTGGATGAAGGGCACATCAGACAGTCTAGTGATTCCTATAGTGTTTGTTCCAGATGAAGGGCACACCAGACAGACTATTAGTCCTATAGTGTTTGTTCCACATGAAGGGCACATCAGACAAGCTATTAGACCTAGAGTGTTTGTTCCACATGAAGGGCACATCAGACAGGCTATTAGTCCTAGAGTGTTTGTTCCAGATGAAGGGTACGTTACACAGACTATTAGTCCTAGAGTGTTTGTTCCAGATGAAGGGCACAACAGACAGACTATTAGTCCTATATTGTTTGTTCCAGATGAAGGGCACATCAGACAGGCTATTCGTCCTATATTGTTTGTTCTAGATGAAGGGCACATCAGACAGACTATTAGTCCTAGAGTGTTTGTTCCAGATGAAGGGCACATCAGACAGGCTATTAGTCTTAGAGTGTTTGTTCCACATGAAGGGCACATCAGACAGACTATTAGTCCTAGAGTGTTTGTTCCAGATGAAGGGCACATGAGACAGACTATTAGTCCTATAGTGTTTGCTCCAGATGAAGGGCACATCAGACAGACTATTAGTCCTAGAGTGTTTGTTCCAGATGAAGGGCACATCAGATACAATTGAAATCAAAGACGATGATATGACATTCAGAGGTGTAGACAGACTGCGTGTCAAACGGTTTTTCCTGAGTGGAATAGCTCCAGATGTCAAGCCAGACGATATTGCCAAATACTTTTCCACTCGTGGTGTAAAAACAACAATAATTCGCCTTATGTCCAGTAGGAGGAAAGGAACTGTTTCAGCTCGAATCAACATCCAAGCCTCTGACGTCCCCAAACTGGAATCTCGAGCGTTTTGGCCAAAGAACATAACATGCCGGCCCTGGATGAGCTCCAAAGCCTACCTCGCCCAGTTTGAATGATGCTACTGAATAACCTCAATCTTCTCACATGGAATGCTACTAGTGCATATCTACGGGACATCCTAACAAGATATGATGCGGATGTTTGTGGTATCAGTGAGCACTGGTTATTTGAAAAGAATTTACCTTTCCTGGACACAATCAGTAATGATTATAAAACATTTGGTGTAAGCGACTCTGACTTAAAGCTGCCTAGTAACAGAAAGGTTGGCAAGGCTGGTGTTGCTGTATTGTGGCACAAACGACTTGAAAACAATGTTACTGTCCTGAATATACCCGATGACAGAATAGTTGGTACTCACATACATTCTGGACTTGAAGTGAGCATCTTCATATTTCAAGTATACTTACCATCTACAAACTCAAATGTTCAAATGTATATAGATTACATAGATGCACTTTGGAATCATTGTGACCGTTACAAGGATGAAGGAACTATCATCTTCATGGGTGATTTAAACTGCAAAATAGTTAAAGATGCTTCTAGCGGAAGAGGGGCAGCTGTAGCTAAGTTTCTATCCAGAAATAATTTAACTGCTGTTACTACCTCGGCACTGTGTAAGGGATCGCATTGCTCATATGTATCCTTTGATGGTACTAACTCCACGCTTATTGATCACATTGTTATCCCGGAGAATAAACTCGACTGCATTTCTTCATGTCAAATCCTAGAAGATCACCAGCTCAATGTCAGCAACCATAGGCCTGTTGTTGCTTGTCTTGTAGTAGGCCAGGAACTTTCGTATCAACTCCCAGCCTTCAACAGGCTATCCTACAACTGGAAGAAGTTGAGTAGAGAAGAACTCTGTTCTGGCTACTCAACTGACCTGACGCAATTACTGACTGAATGTGGTCATTGCCATACCACTCTGCACTCAGTAGAGGACGTCAACAAGTATTGCGACACACTGACTAAATGTATCATTGATGCATCAGACAAGCATGTTCCTAAGAAGAAATATAGTCCTCATCTAAAGCCATACTGGTCTACAGAGCTGAAACATCTCCACAAAGCAATGCGTTGTGCTAGAATGTCTTGGATTCGAGATGGGAAACCAAGAGGTGGCAGTCGTATCACATATAGGACCTATAAAGATCTAAAAAGAGAAATTAGAAGGTCTCAAAGAAAGCACATTGAAGAACAAGGATGCAAGGTCTTGAACGAGATTGACGCATATGCGGAAATGGATCAGTCTGCATTCTGGAAGGCTATAAGTTCTAGAAGAAAACGTCACCGAACCGACACGGGTGGTGACATGTGTTTTCAAGAAGGAATTATCACTCGCGATCCTAAAGGCATTGCAGATGGATGGAGTGAATATTTCAAAGCACTGTATACGCCATTAGAAGATCCTTCCTTTGACTCAGATCATAAGGACTCTGTTGAAGAAGAGCTCCTTTCTCCAATGTGTGCAGATACAGCAGTGCCTCCTGTCGTTTCCAACGAACTGTACTCAGCCATTTCTAAATTGAACACGGGCAAAGCACCTGGTATTGATCATGTGGCCAATGAGCATATCATTCATGGGGGTCCTGGTTTAGACGCCTGTCTTACCAAACTGTTCAATGCCTTCCTTACTGTAGGCTATGTGCCCCCATCAATGAAACGTGGAGTTATCATTACACTATACAAAAAGGTGGCAGCAAACCCAAAATGTTACCAAATAGTTACAGGGCAATAACACTTCTTCCTGCTATCTATAAATTATTTGAACGTGTACTACTGTCACGTCTGCAGAAGTTTCACAATCCATCACCGCTTCAGCATGGCTTTAGAAGTGGAATAGACTCACCAATGACTTCATTTCTTCTCCGAGAGTGCATAGCATATTCAGTGGAAAATAACAGTAAACTCTATAGCTGCTTCCTTGACGCTGAAAAAGCATTTGACTGTGTTTGGCATGATGGCCTCTTCTTAAATCTGAGACACATCGGGACTCCAAAAGTACTTCTGGGTGTTATCCTATCAATGTATGACACTATGCAGAGCTGTGTTATTCACAGGGGTCACTCAAGCAAGTTGTTTGACATCAAGCAAGGGCCAAGGCAAGGAGGTGTACTATCATCTTGGCTGTACCAGTTATATCTTGACGAACTGCTAGTCTTTCTGTTTCACCGTCTGGAGCCTGTATCAACACAATCCCATGTGCTGCACCCACTCAAGCTGATGCTGTCCTTTACGAAACATGGCTTAGTCTCTCTGTTGGCAATCTGTGCTGCGTACAGCAGTAAATGGCGGTTCCGGTACAGTGCAAAGAAGAGTGTCGTGATAGTCTTTAACGAATCAACTGCAGCCTACAAACGTTCCCAAAGAACCTGGTTCCTGGGAAACAAGCCAATACAGGAGACTGACCAGCATACTCACCTGGGAACTGCTATATCCAAGAACATGAAGTCAACGGAGCAGGTTGACACCATCTGCAGAAAAATATAGTCAACCTTCTTTGCCACCAGAAACATTGGTATTTTCATGAAAATGGACTTCATCCACTCACGGCAGCAAAGATCTACCAGTCAATTGTTCTCCCACGTGCACTGTACGGCTGTGAAACACTGTATAACATGTCTACAGGTTCCTGTCTTCAGCTGGAAAGGGCGCACAGATTTTGCCTGAAGATAATCCAAGGGTTACCGACAAGAACTAGAACTGATATGGTGCTTTTACTTATAGGTATCCTGCCGATCACTGCGACCATAAGCATAAGAAAACTCTGATTGTTTGGACGATTGCTTACATGCCCAACATCCTGTTCAGCAAGATCTATCCTGCTATATCGCTACTTCCGCGATACAGTCACCAATAGTCCAGTCACCCATGGATTCATCCCGGTGATCAAACGACTGTGTAACTGCTAAGGACTCACAGATGCTCTATCACAGATCCAATTACACAGACTATTAGTCCTAGAGTGTTTGTTCCAGGTAAAGGGTACATTACACAGACTATTAGTCCTAGAGTGTTTGTACAAGGTGAAGGGTACGTTACACAGACTATTAGTCCTAGAGTGTTTGTTCCAGGTGAAGGGTACATCAGACAGACTATTAGTACTAGAGTGTTTGTTCCAGGTGAAGGGTGCGTTACACAGACTATTAGTCCTATAGTATTGTTCCAGATGAAGGGTACATTATACAGACTATTAGTCCTAGAGTGTTTGTTCCAGATGAAGGGGACATCAGACAGACTATTAGTCCTATAGTGTTTGTTCCAGGTGAAGGGTACGTTACACAGACTATTAGTCCTAGAGTGTTTGTTCCAGGTGATGGGCATATCAGACAGACTATTAGTCCTAGAGTGTTTGTTCCAGGTGAAGGGCACATCAGACAGACTATTAGTCCTAGAGTGTTTGTTCCATGTGAAGGGTACATTACACAGACTATTAGTCCTAGAGTGTTTGTTCCAGGTGAAGGGTACGTTACACAGACTATTAGTCCTAGAGTGTTTGTTCCAGATGAAGGGTACGTTACACAGACTATTATTCAAAGAGTGTTTGTTCCAGGTGAAGGGTACGTTACGCAGACTATTAGTCCTAGAGTGTTTGTTCCAGGTGATGGGCATATCAGACAGACTATTAGTCCTAGAGTGTTTGTTCCAGATGAAGGGCACATCAGACAGACTATTAGTCCTAGAGTGTTTGTTCCAGGTGAAGGGTACATCAGACAGACTATTAGTCCTAGAGTGTTTGTTCCAGATGAAGGGCACATCAGACAAACTATTAGTCCTATAGTGTTTGTTCCAGATGAAGGGTACATTACACAGACTATTAGTCCTATAGTGTTTGTTCCAGATGAAGGGTACATTACACAGACTATTAGTCCTAGAGAGTTTGTTCCAGGTAAAGGGTACATTACACAGACTATTAGTCCTAGAGTGTTTGTACAAGGTGAAGGGTACGTTACACAGACTATTAGTCCTAGAGTGTTTGTTCCAGGTGAAGGGTACATCAGACAGACTATTAGTCCTAGAGTGTTTGTTCCAGGTGAAGGGTGCGTTACACAGACTATTAGTCCTATAGTATTGTTCCAGATGAAGGGTACATTATACAGACTATTAGTCCTAGAGTGTTTGTTCCAGATGAAGGGGACATCAGACAGACTATTAGTCCTATAGTGTTTGTTCCAGGTGAAGGGTACGTTACACAGACTATTAGTCCTAGAGTGTTTGTTCCAGGTGATGGGCACATCAGACAGACTATTAGTCCTTTAGTGTTTGTTCCATGTGAAGGGTACATTACACAGACTATTAGTCCTAGAGTGTTTGTTCCAGGTGAAGGGTACGTTACACAGACTATTAGTCCTAGAGTGTTTGTTCCAGGTGAAGGGTACATCAGACAGACTATTAGTCCTAGAGTGTTTGTTCCAGGTGAAGGGTACGTTACACAGACTATTAGTCCTAGAGTGTTTGTTCCAGATGAAGGGTACGTTACACAGACTATTATTCAAAGAGTGTTCGTTCCAGGTGAAGGGTACGTTACGCAGACTATTAGTCCTAGAGTGTTTGTTCCAGGTGAAGGGCATATCAGACAGACTATTAGTCCTAGAGTGTTTGTTCCAGATGAAGGGTACGTTACACAGACTATTATTCAAAGAGTGTTCGTTCCAGGTGAAGGGTACGTTACGCAGACTATTAGTCCTAGAGTGTTTGTTCCAGGTGAAGGGCATATCAGACAGACTATTAGTCCTAGAGTGTTTGTTCCAGATGAAGGGCACATCAGACAGACTATTAGTCCTAGAGTGTTTGTTCCAGGTGAAGGGTACTTTACACAGAGTCGACACGTGATGTGGATGTTGCCTACCATCATCTTGTTCTTCACGACTATTTGTTGCTGGAAGAGGTGAGTTCCTGTTTGGCGGGTACTAACCTGATACAACAGTTTCTATCTCACTCTGGTCAGTATTTGGCCAATTATTCAGATATGTAATCCTTTGGTATAACAATATACTCAGTTCCTTATCGTTTCAAGTTTTACAAACACGCCGATATTTTTCTACATTCACAACATGAAACTCCGTATCAGTAATGGCAGCGGCATTCGGTTGTTGATTGACTACACAAGACACGCTTGTCAATTTGTTTGGGTCAACAAGAAGTGAAGGTGTTTACAGAACAGGTGCCCTTTTTTCTAAAAGACAAATGTTTTTGCAGTGGACGATGTAGAAGAACCTCTAATAGATGGTGTGCCTGGCTGATTGAAAGGTAATGCTCACGAATACTTCTTATTTAAAACACTATTACTGAACAGAAGAGTGGGTGAGTTCAATTTAACGCCGGTATTAGCGGTAGCTCGGCCATAGGACGGCGTGTCTGCTTAATGTGGGAGCAAAACCCGAAGTGCTGCAGGTCAGTGATGGTTGCCAACGTTGTGGACTCCACAAACCCAGAAACACAATCTTGACAATCTGGCGTTGATCATACAATCATATGTTTGAACCAGGGCCAAGGGAAAGAACCGTGTCATGTTTACCACCCGTGTCCCACTTACTGCTAAACACGTTATTTTACTTAAATATTTCAGTTTACTTATCTCATCTGTTATTCCTTTACAGAGTCCCTCGGTCACGTAAGTGATATTTGTCTTCAACATAACTGATTCACGTCATGACACAGTATGTATTCTTTACTCCGGAATGTTAATCTCGTCAATGTTTGTATACTTTCAGACATCTAATTGTTTTTGTCACTATTGTGCAATCCATATCTTTCCGTTGTCGAAATCAATTATACTGTGTAGGTATGTGCAAAGTGTATGCATCAACGTAGGACTTACATTATGTACCTGTCAGGTATGTGCAAACTGTACGCATCAACGTAGGACGTACACTGTGTACCTGTCAGGTATGTGCAAACTGTATGCGTCAACGTAGGACGTACACTGTGTACCTGTCAGGTATGTGCAAACTGTATGCATCACCGTAGGACTTACATTATGTACCTGTCAGGTATGCGCAAATTGTTTGCATCAACGTAGGACTTACACTGTGTACCTGTCAGATATGTGCAAACTGTATGCATCACCGTAGGACTTACATTATGTACCTGTCAGGTATGTGCAGACTGTATGCATCAACGTAGGACTTACATTATGTACCTGTCAGGTATGTGCAAACTGTATGCATCAACGTAGGACTTAAACTGTGTACCTGTCAGGTATGTGCAAACTGTATGCATCAACGTAGGACTTACACTGTGTACAGTGTAGCCAAGGTCATGAAGACTAATATCTAACTATGATTTCAAAATAAATATTTCTGCTATGAAATTATTTTTTGGGGAGCCATTAATGGTGTAAACGTACCCTTGCTGCAAACAATGCATAATCCCCTTTGCTCCTCCCTTACATTATTATAGTAAACTGATTTCAATTAGACTGAAATATGTCATGACGTACAGGCACATGTCAGGTGCACCGTGTATTGAACTGTTGTTACTGAATTCCTGCAACAAACTCGCATCTTCCTGACTCTACCCTTACTGAAACAGACTTAGATGTAACTCACAAGGTGACGTATCCTCACTACAACATGATATACAGACACCCCACAGACATCTAACCTCACTGCTGCCAAACCGACAATAGACTTTACCAACAAGATACAGACACCCCACAGACCTCTACCCGCACTGCTGTCACACAGACAATAGACTTAACCAACAAGATACAGACACCCCAAAGACCTCTACCCTCACTGCTGCCACACAGACAATAGACTTTATCAACAAGATACAGACACCCCATAAACCTCTACCCTCACTGCTGCCACACAGACAATAGACTTTACCAACAAGATACAGACACACCATACACCTCTACCCTCACTGCTGCCACACAAACAATAGACTTTACCAACAAGATACAGACACCCCACAGACATCTACCCTCACTGCTGCCTCACCGACAATAGACTTTAACAACAAGATACTGACACCCCACAGACATCTACCCTCACTGCTGCATCACAGACAATAGACTTTACCAACAAGATACAGACAACCCACAGTCCTCTACCCTCACTGCTGCAACATAGACAATAGACTTTACCAACAAGATACAGACACCCTACAGACCTCTACCCTCACTGCTGCCACACAGACAATAAACTTCAACAACAAGATACTGACACCCCACAGACATCTACCCTCACTGCTGCATCACAGACAATAGACTTTACCAACAAGATACAGACACCCCACAGACCTCTACCCTCACTGCTGCCACACAAACAATAGAATTTACCAACAAGATACAGACTTCCCACAGACCTCTACACTCACTGCTGCCACACAGACAATAGACCTTACCGACAAGATACAGACACAACACAGACCTCTACCGTCTCTGCTGCCACACAGACAATAGACTTTACCAACAAGATACAGACACCCGAGAGACCTCTAGCCTTACCGCTGACACACAGGCAATAGACTTTACCAACAAGATACAGACACCCCATAGACCTCTACCTTCACTACTGCCAAAAAGACAATAGACTTTACCAAAAAGATACAGACACCCCATAGATCTCTCCCCTCACTGCTGCCACACAGACAATAGACAATATCAACAAGATACAGACAGTCCACAGACCTCTACCCTCACTGCTGCCACACAGACAATAGACTTTACCAACAAGATACAGACACCCCACAGACCTCTAGCCGTACTGCTGACACACAGGCAATAGACTTTACCAAAAAGATACACACACCCCATAGACCTCTACCTTCACTACTGCCACACAGACAATAGACTTTACCAACAAGATACAGACACTCCACAGACCACTACCCTCACTGCTGCCACACAGACAATACACATTACCAACAAGATACAGACACCCTACAGACCTCTACCCTCACTGCTGCCCCGCAGACAATATACATTAACAACAAGATACAGACACCCCACAGACGTCTACCCTCACTGCTGCCACACAGACAATAGACTTTACCAACAAGATACAGACACTCTACACGCCTCTATCCTCACTTCTGCCACACAGACAATAGACTTTACCAAGAAGATACAGACACCCCAACAGACCTCTAATATCACAGCTGCCACACAGATATAGACATTACCAACAATATACAGACACCCCACATACCTCTACCCTCACTACTGCCCCGCAGAGAATAGACTTTACCAACAAGATACAGACAACCCACAGACGCCTACCCTTACTGCTACCACACAGACAATAGACTTTACCATCAAGATACAGACACCCCAGAGACATCTACCCTCACTGCTGCCACAGAGACAATAAACTTTACAATGAAGATACAGACACCCCACAGACCTCTACCCTCACTGCTGCCACACAGACTATAGACTTTACCAACAAGATACAGACACCCTACAGACCTCTACCCTCACTGCTGCCACGCAGACAATAGACTTTACCAACAAGATACAGACACCCTACAGACCTACAGCCAATACAATTTACCAACCAGATACAGACACCCCACAGACTTCTACCCTCACTGCTGCCACACAGACAATAGTAATTACCAACAAGATACAGACACTTCAAAGACCACTACCCTCACTGCTGCCACACAGACAATATACATTACCAACAAGATACAGACACCCTACAGACCTCTACCCTTACTGCTGCCACACAGACAATAGACTTTACCAAGAAGATACAGACACTCTACACGCCTCTATCCTCACTGCTGCCACACAGACAATAGACTTTTCCAAGAAAACACAGACACCCAAACAGACCTCTAATATCACTGCTGCAACACAGATATACACATTACCAACAATATCCAGACACCCCACATACCTCTACCCTCACTACTGTCCCGCAGAGAATAGACTTTACCAACAAGATACAGACACCCCACAGACCACTACCCTCACTGCTGCCACACAGACAATATACATTACCAACAAGATACAGACACCCTACAGACCTCTACTCTCACTGCTGCCACACAGACAATAGACTTTACCAACAAGATACAGACACCCTACAGACCTACAAACAATACAATTTACCAACCAGATACAGACACCCCACAGACTTCTACCCTCACTGCTGCCACACAGACAATAGTAATTACCAACAAGATACAGACACTTCAAAGACCACTACCCTCACTGCTGCCACACAGACAATATACATTACCAACAAGATACAGACACCCTACCGACCTCTACCCTCACTGCTGCCACACAGACAATAGACTTTACCATCAAGATACAGACACCCTACAGACCTCTACCCTCACTGCTGCCACACAGACAATAGACTTTACGATCAAGATACAGACACCGTACAGACCTCTACCCTCACTGCTGCCACACAGACAATATACATTACCAACAAGATACAGACACCCTACAGACCTCTACCCTCACTGCTGCCACACAGACAATAGACTTTACCATCAAGATACAGACACCCCACAGACCTCTACCCTCACCGCTGCCACACAGACAATAGACTTTACCATCAAGATACAGACACTCCACAGACCTACAGACAATACAATTTACCAACCAGATACAGACACCCCACAGACTTCTACCCTCACTGCTGCCACACAGACAATAGTAATTACCAACAAGATACAGACACTCCACAGACCTCTATACTCACTGCTGCCCCGCAGACAATAGTTATTACCAACAAGATACAGACACCCCACAGACCACTACCCTCACTGCTGCCACACAGACAATATACATTACCAACAAGATACAGACACCCTACATACCTCAACCCTCACTGCTGCCCCGCAGACAATATACATTACCAACAAGATACAGACAACCCACAGACGCCTACCCTTACTGCTGCCACACAGACAATAGACTTTACCATCAAGATACAGACACCCCACAGACATCTACCCTCACTGCTGCCACAGAGACAATAAACTTTGCAATGAAGATACAGACACCCCACAGACCTCTACCCTCACTGCTGCCACACAGACAATAGACTTTACCAACAAGATACAGACACCCTACAGACCTCTACCCTCACTGCTGCCACGCAGACAATAGACTTTACCAACAAGATACAGACACCCTACAGACCTACAGACAATACAATTTACCAACCAGATACAGACACCCCACAGACTTCTACCCTCACTGCTGCCACACAGACAATAGTAATTACCAACAAGATACAGACACTTCAAAGACCACTACCCTCACTGCTGCCACACAGACAATATACATTACCAACAAGATACAGACTCCCTACAGACCTCTACCCTCACTGCTGCCACACAGACAATAGACTTTACCAACAAGATACAGACACTCTACACGCCTCTATCCTCACTGCTGCCACACAGACAATAGACTTTTCCAAGAAAATACAGACACCCAAACAGACCTCTAATATCACTGCTGCAACACAGATATACACATTACCAACAATATCCAGACACCCCACATACCTCTACCCTCACTACTGCCCCGCAGAGAATAGACTTTACCAACAATATACAGACACCCCACAGACCACTACCCTCACTGCTGCCACACAGACAATATACATTACCAACAAGATACAGACACCCTACAGACCTCTACCCTCACTGCTGCCCCGCAGACAATATACATTACCAACAAGATACAGACAACCCACAGACGCCTACCCTTACTGCTGCCACACAGACAATAGACTTTACCATCAAGATACAGACACCCCACAGACAACTACCCTCACTGCTGCCACAGAGAAAATAGTAATTACCAACAAGATACAGACACTTCAAAGACCACTACCCTCACTGCTGCCACACAGACAATATACATTACCAACAAGATACAGACACCCTACATACCTCTACCCTCACTGCTGCCACACAGACAATAGACTTTACCAAGAAGATACAGACACCCAAACAGACCACTACCCTCACTGCTGCCCCGCAGACAATACACATACAAACAAGATACAGACACCCCATAGACGCCTACCCTTACTGCTGCCACACAGACAACAGACTTTACCATCAAGATACAGACACCCCACAGACCTCTAATATCACTGCTGCCACACAGACAATAGACTTTACCAACAAGATACAGACACTCTACACGCCTCTATCCTCACTGCTGCCACACAGACAACATACTTTACCAAGAAGATACAGACACCCCAACAGGCCTCTAATATCGCTGCTGCCACACAGACAATAGACTTTACCAAGAAGATACAGACACCCAAACAGACCACTACCCTCACTGCTGCAACACAGATATAGACATTACCAACAATATACAGACACCCCACATACCTCTACCCTCACTGATGCCCCGCAGACAATAGACTTTACCAACAAGATACAGACACCCCACAGACCGCTACCCTCACTGCTGCCCCGCAGACAATACACATACAAACAAGATACAGACACCCCATAGACGCCTACCCTTACTGCTGCCACACAGACAATAGACTTTACCATCAAGATACAGACACCCCACAGACCTCTATCCTCACTGCTGCCACACAGACAACATACTTTACCAAGAAGATACAGACACCCCAACAGGCCTCTAATATCGCTGCTGCCACACAGATATAGACATTACCAACAAGATACAGACACCCCACATAGCTCTACCGTCACTGCTGCCCCGCAGAAAATATACTTTACCAACAAGATACTGACACCCCACAGACCTCTAGCCTCACTGCAGCCACACAGACAATAGTTATTACCAACAAGATACAGACACCGCACAGACCTCTACCCTTACTGCTGCCACACAGACAATAGACTTTACCAACAACATACAGACACCCCAGAGACCTCTACTATCACTGCTGCCACACAGACAATACAATTTAGAAACCAGATACAGACACCCCACAGACCTCTACCCTCACTGCTGCCACACAGACAACAGACTTTACCAACAAGATACAGACACCCTACAGACCTCTACCCTCACTGCTGCCACACAGACAATAGACTTTACCAACAAGATACAGACACCCTACAGACCTACAGACAATACAGTTTACCAACCAGATACAGACACCCCACAGACTTCTACCCTCACTGCTGCCACACAGACAATAGTAATTACCAACAAGATACAGACACTTCAAAGACCACTACCCTCACTGCTGCCACACAGACAATATACATTACCAACAAGATACAGACACCCTACAGACCTCTACCCTCACTGCTGCCACACAGACAATAGACTTTACCAACAAGATACAGACACTCTACACGCCTCTATCCTCACTGCTGCCACACAGACAATAGACTTTTCCAAGAAAATACAGACACCCAAACAGACCTCTAATATCACTGCTGCCACACAGATATACACATTACCAACAATATCCAGACACCCCACATACCTCTACCCTCACTACTGCCCCGCAGAGAATAGACTTTACCAACAAGATACAGACACCCCATAGACCACTACCCTCACTGCTGCCACACAGACAATATACATTACCAACAAGATACAGACACCCTACAGACCTCTACCCTCACTGCTGCCCCGCAGACAATATACATTACCAACAAGATACAGACAACCCACAGACGCCTACCCTTACTGCTGCCACACAGACAATAGACTTTACCATCAAGATACAGACACCCCACAGACATCTACCCTCACTGCTGCCACAGAGAAAATAGTAATTACCAACAAGATACAGACACTTCAAAGACCACTACCCTCACTGCTGCCACACAGACAATATACATTACCAACAAGATACAGACACCCTACATACCTCTACCCTCACTGCTGCCACACAGACAATAGACTTTACCTAGAAGATACAGACACCCAAACAGACCACTACCCTCACTGCTGCAACACAGATATAGACATTACCAACAATATACAGACACCCCATAGACGCCTACCCTTACTGCTGCCCCACAGACAACAGACTTTACCATCAAGATACAGACACCCCACAGACCTCTAATATCACTGCTGCCACACAGACAATAGACTTTACCAACAAGATACAGACACTCTACACGCCTCTATCCTCACTGCTGCCACACAGACAACATACTTTACCAAGAAGATACAGACACCCCAACAGGCCTCTAATATCGCTGCTGCCACACAGACAATAGACTTTACCATCAAGATACAGACACCCAAACAGACCACTACCCTCACTGCTGCAACACAGATATAGACATTACCAACAATATACAGACACCCCACATACCTCTACCCTCACTGCTGCCCCGCAGACAATAGACTTTACCAACAAGATACAGACACCCCACAGACCACTACCCTCACTGCTGCCCCGCAGACAATACACATACAAACAAGATACAGACACCCCATAGACGCCTACCCTTACTGCTGCCACACAGACAATAGACTTTACCATCAAGATACAGACACCCCACAGACCACTACCCTCACTGCTGTCACACAGACAATAGACTTTACCAACAAGATACAGACACTCTACACGCCTCTATCCTCACTGCTGCCACACAGACAACATACTTTACCAAGAAGATACAGACACCCCAACAGGCCTCTAATATCGCTGCTGCCACACAGATATAGACTTTACCAACAAGATACAGACACCCCACATAGCTCTACCCTCACTGCTGCCCCGCAGAAAATATACTTTACCAACAAGATACTGACACCCCACAGACCTCTACCCTCACTGCAGCCACACAGACAATAGTTATTACCAACAAGATACAGACACCGCACAGACCTCTACCCTTACTGCTGCCACACAGACAATAGACTTTACCAACAACATACAGACACCCCAGAGACCTCTACTATCACTGCTGCCACACAGACAATACAATTTAGAAACCAGATACAGACACCCCACAGACCTCTACCCTCACTGCTGCCACACAGACAATAGACTTTACCAACAAGATACAGACACCCCACAGACCTCTACCCTCACTGCTGCCACACAGACAATAGACTTTACCAACAAGATACAGACACCCTACAGACCTCTACCCTCACTGCTGCCACACAGACAATAGACTTTACCAACAAGATACAGACACTCTACACGCCTCTATCCTCACTGCTGCCACACAGACAATAGACTTTTCCAAGAAAATACAGACACCCAAACAGACCTCTAATATCACCGCTGCCACACAGATATACACATTACCAACAATATCCAGACACCCCACATACCTCTACCCTCACTACTGCCCCACAGAGAATAGACTTTACCAACAAGATACAGACACCCCACAGACCACTACCCTCACTGCTGCCACACAGACAATATACATTACCAACAAGATACAGACACCCTACAGACCTCTACCCTCACTGCTGCCCCGCAGACAATATACATTACCAACAAGATACAGACAACCCACAGACGCCTACCCTTACTGCTGCCACACAGACAATAGACTTTACCATCAAGATACAGACACCCCACAGACATCTACCCTCACTGCTGCCACAGAGAAAATAGTAATTACCAACAAGATACAGACACTTCAAAGACCACTACCCTCACTGCTGCCACACAGACAATATACATTACCAACAAGATACAGACACCCTACATACCTCTACCCTCACTGCTGCCACACAGAAAATAGACTTTACCTAGAAGATACAGACACCCAAACAGACCACTACCCTCACTGCTGCAACACAGATATAGACATTACCAACAATATACAGACACCCCATAGACGCCTACCCCCTACTGCTGCCCCACAGACAACAGACTTTACCATCAAGATACAGACACCCCACAGACCTCTAATATCACTGCTGCCACACAGACAATAGACTTTACCAACAAGATACAGACACTCTACACGCCTCTATCCTCACTGCTGCCACACAGACAACATACTTTACCAAGAAGATACAGACACCCCAACAGGCCTCTAATATCGCTGCTGCCACACAGACAATAGACTTTACCAAGAAGATACAGACACCCAAACAGACCACTACCCTCACTGCTGCAACACAGATATAGACATTACCAACAATATACAGACACCCCACATACCTCTACCCTCACTGCTGCCCCGCAGACAATAGACTTTACCAACAAGATACAGACACCCCACAGACCACTACCCTCACTGCTGCCCCGCAGACAATACACATACAAACAAGATACAGACACCCCATAGACGCCTACCCTTACTGCTGCCACACAGACAATAGACTTTACCATCAAGATACAGACACCCCACAGACCACTACCCTCACTGCTGCCACACAGACAATAGACTTTACAAACAAGATACAGACACTCTACACGCCTCTATCCTCACTGCTGCCACACAGACAACATACTTTACCAAGAAGATACAGACACCCCAACAGGCCTCTAATATCGCTGCTGCCACACAGATATAGACTTTACCAACAAGATACAGACACCCCACATAGCTCTACCTTCACTGCTGCCCCGCAGAAAATATACTTTACCAACAAGATACTGACACCCCACAGACCTCTAGCCTCACTGCAGCCACACAGACAATAGTTATTACCAACAAGATACAGACACCGCACAGACCTCTACCCTTACTGCTGCCACACAGACAATAGACTTTACCAACAACATACAGACACCCCAGAGACCTCTACTATCACTGCTGCCACACAGACAATACAATTTAGAAACCAGATACAGACACCCCACAGACCTCTACCCTCACTGCTGCCACACAGACAATAGACTTTACCAACAAAATACAGACACCCTACAGACCTCTACCCTCACTGCTGCCCCGCAGACAATAGACTTTACCAACAAGATACAGACACCCTACAGACCTACAGACAATACAATTTACCAACCAGATACAGACACCCCACAGACTTCTACCCTCACTGCTGCCACACAGACAATAGTAATTACCAACAAGATACAGACACTTCAAAGACCACTACCCTCACTGCTGCCACACAGACAATATACATTACCAACAAGATACAGACACCCTACAGACCTCTACCCTCACTGCTGCCACACAGACAATAGACTTTACCAACAAGATACAGACACTCTACACGCCTCTATCCTCACTGCTGCCACACAGACAATAGACTTTTCCAAGAAAATACAGACACCCAAACAGACCTCTAATATCACTGCTGCAACACAGATATACACATTACCAACAATATCCAGACACCCCACATACCTCTACCCTCACTACTGCCCCGCAGAGAATAGACTTTACCCACAAGATACAGACACCCCACAGACCACTACCCTCACTGCTGCCACACAGACAATATACATTACCAACAAGATACAGACACCCTACAGACCTCTACCCTCACTGCTGCCCCGCAGACAATATACATTACCAACAAGATACAGACAACCCACAGACGCCTACCCTTACTGCTGCCACACAGACAATAGACTTTACCATCAAGATACAGACACCCCACAGACATCTACCCTCACTGCTGCCACAGAGAAAATAGTAATTACCAACAAGATACAGACACTTCAAAGACCACTACCCTCACTGCTGCCACACAGACAATATACATTACCAACAAGATACAGACACCCTACATACCTCTACCCTCACTGCTGCCACACAGAAAATAGACTTTACCTAGAAGATACAGACACCCAAACAGACCACTACCCTCACTGCTGCAACACAGATATAGACATTACCAACAATATACAGACACCCCATAGACGCCTACCCTTACTGCTGCCCCACAGACAACAGACTTTACCATCAAGATACAGACACCCCACAGACCTCTAATATCACTGCTGCCACACAGACAATAGACTTTACCAACAAGATACAGACACTCTACACGCCTCTATCCTCACTGCTGCCACACAGACAACATACTTTACCAAGAAGATACAGACACCCCAACAGGCCTCTAATATCGCTGCTGCCACACAGACAATAGACTTTACCAAGAAGATACAGACACCCAAACAGACCACTACCCTCACTGCTGCAACACAGATATAGACATTACCAACAATATACAGACACCCCACATACCTCTACCCTCACTGCTGCCCCGCAGACAATAGACTTTACCAACAAGATACAGACACCCCACAGACCACTACCCTCACTGCTGCCACACAGACAATAGACTTTACCAACAAGATACAGACACTCTACACGCCTCTATCCTCACTGCTGCCACACAGACAACATACTTTACCAAGAAGATACAGACACCC